GTCGTAAGGCTAACACTTAGAGAGAGTCAACTATTAACGCTCACAGTGGCACCTTCAGCCAGTTTAGAATTACATGTACATGTGCATGTATTTGGACTGTGGGACGAACCTGGAGGGTACCAAGGGAGGGAGAGGAAGAAGATGCAGAAAATAGTGTTTATAATGTGTGTTTATGTTTGTTTAACCTTCAGACAAAGCCAGGCTAGCTTTATCGCTGTTTTCAGTGTTTCTGCTAAGCTTAGCTAACGATTAATCATGCAGACATGTTAACTGATATAACCTGATATAACCGTCTTCTCCTTTATCTTTTTTGTTTAAACAATAAAGAAAATCTACAAATAAATAAAATTTAAAGAGTGCAATTTTTAAAAAAAAAACAAAAAAAAAAAACAAAAAGAAAAATTGTTGACTCTTAGAAGATTTTTCAATGGTTTATGTCAGCCAGACTCAGTGAGGGGCTTTTCAGCCTCAGAGCAGACTTCTCCGTCACAAGTCAGATGCAGCAGGTCCTCCAGTGCTTTCTTTACATGTGTGCTCAGACTTCTGTTATGGATGCTACCATTGGTTCCCTCAGGATGCAAAGAGCCCATCAGATCCTGGAGCCACTGGAGCTCAGAGTTCAGCTCCTGCCTCAGAGCATCCAGTTGGCCCTGCCTGTGGTTGTACCTCTTGCTGATGCTCTCCAGACAAACATCTACTGCCTTCATGTCTTCTTGCACCAGCTTCCTGGTGGCCTCCACTTTGCGAAACTCGTGGCAGGCTTGCGAGAGCTGTTTCTTTGCGGTATCCCGCTCCTCCTTGTACCAAGCTTCCTTGTCATTGTAAATGGAGAGCAGTGCTTCTATGTCACCCTGCAGGGTGCGGTAAGCTTCCGCCACCTCGGACAATCCCGTCTCCATTAATCCGATGTCTTCCACCACATGGGCAAAACGCTCAAAGTTGGCATATGTGTTGTTTTGGGACATGCTGGAGTGCGACTGGATAGTGTACTCTTTAAGCAGTTTTGTCTTCAACTGCTTTGCTTTCTTCTCAGAGGCAGCGCTGTCCTCCTCCATGTGGCCGCAGGACTTCAGACAGAAGGGTGGGGGAGGGAGACTGAGTGAGAGGATGTCTTATTGTTGCATCTCGAAAACATGTATAGCAATGAAAAATCCCAGCAGACGTGGCATTGGATGATTAGTGTGTGACCCCAGAGCGCAAGCCACG